ATGCTAGTTAGGTTGAAAACCCAACAAAATGGGCAATCTAAGCAAAAAAGGCTTATAAAAAAATGAGTGAGTTGGGGAGAATGGAAAATGAAAAGAGATGCTAGGATGAAAACCTGAAAAGGCTCCTAGGCAAAATGAGAGATATGAGAGAAATGTTTGTTTTTGCAGGCACTCATTGTATCTCTTTGAAGAATAAGAAGATTCGGAGGAGGAGGAGGAAGAAGAAGAAGAAGAAGAAGAAGAAGAAGAAGAAGAAGAAGAAGAAGAAGAAGAAGAAGAAGAAGAAGAAGAAGAAGAAGAAGAAGAAGAAGAAGAAGAAGAAGAAGAAGAAGAAGAAGAAGAAGAAGAAGAAGAAGATGAACACTAGAAGGCCCTAAAACCCAAGATGTTCTTTGTAATTTGAGTTTAAAACTCATTTTTGTCATCCTTGGTGGTCTTTGTGTTTGTATGTTTTTTTTGTTAAACTGTGGAAACTTTGGAAAAACTTGACACTTGTGAACATTTGATCTTACTCGAGACGAGTAAAGGTTTAAGTGTGGGGGAGTTGATACGTTTGTAATTTCCATATGCATGTATGTGTTTTTAATTAGTTTTGCTTGATCTTTACTATGGAAATTACACACTTTTGGTGTAATAGATTAGTTTGTTAAATTCTTGTAAATAGTTTAGATTAGGTATATTCTGAGCTCAAACAGGTCTTGATCACTCAAAGTACAGTTGGTGAACCCAAAAAGTGGAAAGAAGGTGCAAAATTTGAAGACAAAAGAAGGATCCTGAATTTTGGTCTATACTCGGTCGAGTATCACCTATACTCGATCGGGTATTAGGTTGAAACTTCAAATCGGATCAGATCCGAAGACAAGGGAACATGCCGGGAAGATTTCGGCCACGATTAAATGTCTATACCCGATCGGGTAGACCGACATACCCAATCGGGTATGCCTTTGAGTTTTAAATGAAGATCGGTCGAGTATGGCCCGAATACCACTTTCTAAGCATACTCGACCGGGTATAAACATATACCCGATCGGGCATACCTGTGGAAAATAGCCTGAAACCGATCGAGTATACCTCGAATCGGGTATTACACACATACTCGATCGATTACCATGTATATACCCGATCGAGTACCCCAAATTCCATCCCAAAAGCCTATAAATACACCCCCTTTCCTTCACAAAAAGATATCCACTTCCTTTGTACATCTAAGCTCAGTATAGAATAGTTCTTTCTTTATTTTTTTCATCATGTTTAGTCTCCAAATGAGGAGCTAAACTCTTCCATCTTGGTTTTGCTACTTTGAAGCTTAATGAATTTGTAAGTTGTAAGTTATTTTCTTTAATCTTCTTCCTTGAATATTAATTCTTCCTTTAAAATACTATTTCTATATCAAAGTTGGGGAGTGTTACTAAGATGACAATTAGTTAACATCTTGACATTGGTTATAGTAATAGCTATTTCTTCCTCTATGTTAATATTGGGGAGTGTTACTAAGATGACAATTAGTTAACATCTTGATATTAATCATAGTAGGATTCATATTCTTTAATATTCTTCCTTGAGTATTAATTAATTCCTATTCATATTTCATGTTAATATTTTAAACATTACTTAAAGTATCAACTAGTATTGTTTCTCATATTAATTATTACTAGAATCGATCGGTTAATACGCTTGTTATTAATCCGGTTCTTTCAACGGTAGTAAACTTGGAATATTAATGCATGCATCTCATGGTTAATATGCCAAAGGGAATTAATTATATTGATTAAACCAATAAACCGCTTGTGTTGAGGTTATCAATCTCAATCGTTTTCATCTTAAGATTATTGCTACTATCAAGTTAATATACGGCGCTTGTTCTATATTGACTCGATAGTAAGTTTTATTAATGAACGCATCTCGGTATTAATAACTACCCTCGATGAACTGGATATACTCCTCGATTGAGTATTCGAGAGGAAGATAGTTAAAGATATAACCGGGATCGACGAACATTTCATTAAGTGGATAAAAGCAAAACCAAGCCTCCACATCTATTAATTAAACTCATATAGGTTGTTTATCTTAGTGTTAATTGAATTAAATTAAATCAAACTGACCCCCCCCCCCCTCCCCTTGTTACTATTTATCTAAAAGAAAAGTATTTCTTTCCCTGAGGATACGAACCTTACTTCACTATACTACGTATTAGTGTTGTATTGTAATTATTTTGAGTGCACCCCACGACAAAGTGCACGTCAATGAACAATTTGAAAATACTGGCATAGAAAATGATATTGACAGTACAAACATCTCAAATGATGATCCAACTTCCTTAAATGAAGAAGATATTCCAGATAACGATAGAAACGTTGATAATTATGAAATTTCAATAAACTACGTTTCTACTGGAATGCAATGGAATCGTAAAGATGTTGATATTAATGAGATATTTGTCTATGTCATTGCCACGAATGTTATGAATGAAAACAATGACAATGAGCCAACATCAATTGAAGAATGTCGGAAACGACACGATTGGCCAAAATGGAATGAAGCTATTCAAGCTGAATTAAAATCACTTGAAAAACGTGATGTTTTTGGACCGATAGTCCCTACGTCAAATGGCGTAAAACCAGTGGGTTTTAAATGGGTATTTGTGCGTAAACGCAATGAGAAAAATGAAATCGTAAGATATAAAGCCCGACTTGTTGCCCAAGGTTTTTCTCAAATGCCGGGAATTGATTATGAAGAAACCTATTCTCCAGTAGTTGATGCAACTACATTAAGGTTTCTCATTGGCATGTCTGTTTTTGAAAGGTTGCAAATGCGCCTATTGGATGTAGTGACTGCATATTTATACGGTTCACTCGATACAGACATTTATATGAAAGTCCCTGGTGGATTTAAAATGCCTGAAACTTATAGCTCGAAACCTCGAGAAATGTTTTCCATCAAATTACAAAAGTCATTGTATGGACTAAAACAATCTGGACGAATGTGGTATAATCGTCTTAGTGAATACCTTCTCAAAGAAGGATATAAGAATGATGCAATTAGTCCGTGTGTTTTCATTCGGCGATCAAATTCGGGATTCGTCATAATTGCAATATATGTTGATGACTTAAACATTATTGGAACTCTCGATAAGATTGAAAATACTGCAAAATATCTTATGAAAGAATTTGAAATGAAAGATCTCGGGAGAACCAAATTTTGTCTCGGACTTCAAATTGAGCATTTGAAGAATGGAATTTTCATCCACCAATCCAATTACACCGAGAAAGTGTTGAAGAGATTCAATATGGACAAAGCTCATCCTTTGACTTCACCAATGGTGATTAGATCTCTCAACATACACAATGATCCATTCCATCCCCGAGAAGACAACGAAGAAATACTCGGTCCTGAAGTGCCATATCTGAGTGCTATTAGAGCTTTAATGTATTTAGCTAATAATACTAGACCAGATATTGCATTTTCTGTAAATTTATTAGCTAGATACAGCTCATGCCCAACAAGGCGTCATTGGAACGGGATCAAGCACATATTCCGTTATCTCCGTGGTACAGTTGATATCGGCCTATTCTACCACAAAGATGAAAAAGCTGCTTTAATCGGATATGCAGACGCTGGATATTTATCAGATCCTCAAAAGGCAAAATCACAAACCGGGTACGTATTTACTTATGGTAACACCGCAATCTCGTGGAGATCTATGAAGCAGACATTGACAGCTACATCATCAAATCATTCTGAGTTAATTGCACTATATGAAACCGGAAGAGAATGTGTGTGACTGCGATCTATGATTCAACACATCCAAAACGAATGCGGCATGAAGCCTATTACTTGTCATCCTACTGTGATCTACGAAGACAACACTGCATGCATAGCTCAGATTAAAGAAGGCTACATCAAAGGAGACAGAACGAAACACATATCACCAAAGTTCTTCTCTACTCATGATTTGGAGAAAGAAGGGACGATCAACATTCAACAAATCAGATCAAGTGAAAATCCGGCTGATCTCTTCACCAAATCTTTACCCCCAAAGAAGTTCATAGAACTTGTGCAAAAAATCAGCATGCGCCGCCTTCAAAATTTATGTTAATTTCAGGGGGAGTTTTTTGAATGCACTGCACTCTTTTTTCCTTCATCAGGTTTTTCTCCCACTGGGTTTTTCCTGATAAGGTTTTTAACGAGACAGTACATCCAAATACAACGACATTATAAGTCGTAATCTTTACCCCTTAATTTTCACAATAAATTTTTAAAATTAATAAATATCTATTCAAGGGTGAACATTCAAGGGGGAGTGTTGTAAAATCCTGAGAATGACAAGTGTGAATTGTTCATCCTTGTCATGAGGACACTAATCCAATTTCCATCCTTGTAATAGACAGATGGCTAGGTTTAATGTTTCCAGCAGATTATGTAGAATAATTCTTTGATGATTCATCTCCTAACCAACTAGTATAAATAGGGTGATCAACCCTTTGTAAATGTACTCAAAAAATCAGAAAATATTCAGGATTAAGAAGAAGATATTCAGATCTTTTATTAATATATCTATCTCTTAAGTTTAGTCTTCATCTTTTTCATTTCACAACAAAAATTAAGTTTTTGATTTTTTAAAAAGACGTGACCTGCTATAGAAAGGCATTTTGAGAAATAATGAAAAAACCTTAATGAAACCGATTAAGTGTCATTGCGTGTAATTTATCTATTTTCTTGTGTTTGTGGTTGTGTGTATTTGTGTTGATTTTTTAAATGTTTCTGTGACACAAATTTATATTTACTTCATTCGTTTAAAATTTGAATTATTATATTAAAGTGTTTGCTATAATAACTTTTTTAGTATTCTACAAAAGTATTTTCTGGTTTTTTTCTTTTATTGGATAACTTTGTTACTATTTTTTTAATATATTGTTAATAATTTCACTAGAAAGTAATTCTTTTCTTCAATATTATGAGGTATACATAATATCGTTCAAAAAATGAGGTATAGAGTATACCTTTTCAAGCCCATGAAAAGTTTGGGCATTGAAACCCGGACCGCCCTTGATACTACCCTACACGAATAAGGCGAAATATGGAACAAAACGCCTGAAGGCTCATCAAAATGAGGAGCGCAATTGCAGCAAGGAGAGTGAGAAATCGCCACGACCCAAACACATATCGCTTCATTATATTTCCCATTTTGACCTTCCAACTTGCGTGGTAATACTTGTTGACATCTTCGATTGCCTTATCCAAGAAGGGCACTTTGGTCAACCTCACGGATCTACTCATTCCGTTCCACAGCTTAGTCACCTCCTCATCACTCTTCAATCGATTAAGAATGACGCCTCTCTCCCTAAGAATTCTGACGTCATCATCTGTGTCAACAATCCCATTCATCAATTCCGTGTAACGTGTCAACACTACTGGCCCTGACGCCATACCTGCCTCGTATGCTACTAGGTTTCTCAAGAACACCTGTCAACATCAATTATCCTTCTAAATTGGAAAACAATAAATTCGGTTTTTGGGTCATTATTTTTCTTATAGTATGGCTCATCTATTCGTTCATATAGTATAGTTGAGTTATGGAATGTTGACGTATCGATTCTAACTATAAATATTAAGGGATATTTTGAGTTTGCACCCTGTTTTATATGACAAATTAGACTTTGCACCCAAAATCCAAAATCTTTTGTATTTGCACCCTGTCTCCGTTTTCTTGCCGTTAAGAAGTTAACTTTGTTGCGAAATGGCTGTAATGCCCTTAGCTAAGTAACAAATCATCCTGAGGCATTCTTGTTTCTCACATTTTGTCGTTCTGAATCATCTCATTGCTCGTGAGGTGCGTAGACTGAGTTAGAGTTGGGATGAATAAAGGTTGGAATAACATATTGGTGGATTCAGGAGCACTTAGACGAACACCTAATGAATGGATACAGAGGACGTTGAAGCTTCTTGTGAAAAGAAAGATGAACTCTTTACATGCTGCAAGTATGTTTTTTGATAAAACAAAATTTGTGATATTCTTGATTTTTGAGAGGCATCCCCAATAAATATGGAGTAGAATAGGCGGTTGATCTTCTTCTATTTGTTTCGATTGATGTAAATTAAAGATGAACATAATATGTTTGTCAAAATGTCTTTTATGTAGCGTAGAGTTGACATAGTTTTGGGCCTGATCTCTTTTTTCAAAAACAAAAAAAATGCAAAAGGAGTTCAATTATTTACAAATAGGAAGAACTATCAAATAAGCCATCGAACTTTCATAAAAAGTGCAAATAAGCCCTTTTGCAGGAGACTTTGTACGGTTGTCGCCATTTGGGCCTGTTTTCTGTGGAGGATTTTGATGAAATTTTTTGAGAATCTTCTTCATTAAGTCTCGTTTAGCCATACCAAATTTCAGCTAAAAATTCAATCTAGAAGGCAGTCAAATGAATTTCTAAAATATACTGCGCTACCTAACTGCGCAGTTATCTTTACAAATTCATTTGATTACCTTCCCGATTAAAGTTTTATCTGAAATTTGGTATGAGTAAACTAGACTTAATCAAGAAGATTCCAAAAAAAATTCATCAAAAAATTCCACTGGAAACCGCTCCAAATGGCGACGACCGGACAGAACCTCTTATAAAAGGACTTATTTGCACTTCTTATGAAAGTTCGAAGGCTTATTTGATAGTTCTCCCTTTACGAATACGATGACAGAAATATGAGGTAGTGTAAAAACAATTGACAAGAATATAATGTGATGTGTTTAAAATTAGGGATGCTGCCATGTGTCCAGTTTATCAAACATGTTGTTAACTAACTTGCGCATGAAGCATAATACGGTTGTTAGGTTTTTTAATTTTTTAATCATCCTTCTAGTGGATGCTAATTATAGGATGAATCTGGAATTTTTGCTTAGTTTATTTCCCTTTGACTCTATTGCTCCTATTTGTATAAACCTTGTTGAGTTTATATTATTCAGTTTATATTATTCAGTTGAGAATTCCAGATGATTAAAAGAGCAACCGTGCATACCTCATGTGTGAATTTCAGTTAGGAGAGTGCTATTAAGAATTAAGATAATTATTTGAATGTGTGAGTTCAGTTAAATCTGGAAAATAATCAATATATATATATGAAACTATATGAAACTATTTTTTGTACGTGTTGTAAATCCGAGCTCTTAACTAATTAATTTGTCACAATAACAAACCATTATGCATGCAAATATGTCGCAACAAGAAACCCTTATGCTATCATAAAAAATGCTTAAAATGGATTTCAACATTGCGCATAATCCATCCCTTTCACAATGTAAGATATATTAAGATTTGGTGACGCTTAAAAAATTATAAAGTGACTGTTTTACAATTTTAACATGCAAAAAAGTAATAAAATGTAGTATGAATCCACAAAAAGAAAAAATAAATAAATAGTAGATAAGAGAAATACGAGAATAGGAGGAGAGAAGTATTCATATTTTCTGGACACCTAAAAGTAAGGTGCCTTACAAAATAGGATGAAGATAGTAACAAAATCTGAGGGAAAACTAATACTACGTATAGACTAAAGTTTAAATATACTACATATTTTATGATGATACAAATACAAATTTATAAATGATCATAGTTAATTCATAATAGACCATTGGCGGAACCAAAAATACTTTTTGAGGGGTTAGAGGTTTGAAACTTTTACTGTAGGGCCGGATCTTAATATTTTAAAGTACGGAGTATATTTTATACTTTATGAATGTTTGTAACTGTATGTATGTGTATGCTAGAAAAATATTCTCTCCATCTCGAATTGAATTTCAAACTTTGATCGGCACAAGTATTAAGAAATCACAATAAATGATGCTTGTTTTTTACACTTTTACCCATCTTTCTAAAAGTAGATGCATTTAAGTTAATGGGGAAAAAGTAAAAGTAAGGGTAAATTTGTCACTTCATTCTTATTTACATACCTAAAATAGAAAGTGGAAAACCATTTTGGAACAACCAAAATGGGAAGTATAAATGAGAAGTAAGGGTAAATTTGTCACTTGATTAGCTCAACCTTCCGGACGTATAAATGGGAAAATCAAACGATTCTACTCTTATTTAGGGAAGTACTTTATTTTTAGGTGACCATTATATTATACTTAATTTAAAGGCTGGTACAAAGTACTCCTATTAAATTTAGGCATTTAGCCATATTTTTATGAATAGGTTGGATTTCAGTAATATTTTTGAAAATAAAAATAAAAAATAGAACTCGTGGTTGATAAAATAAGGGGTGTTTGGATTTGATTCTTAAAACTGTTTTTGCTCCTTCAGGGAGCAGAAGCAGAAGTTGAAGTGTTTGGGTAAAAGTGCAGAAGTGATTCTGGTGCTCTAATTTACTCTTAGAATCAGTTTTTTTAGAAGCTGGGGGTGACCAGTTTCTGAAAACTGATTATGCTTCTGCTTTTGCTTTAAATAAGAAGCAGAATCAGTTCTAAACACCCCAAAATGCAAAAGACTATTGGAAAAGGAGCATATATGTAGACGCACCGCAGTATTCAAGTCCACGCAAATGCAGGGCAGGTAAAGCACCACCTTTTTATCATCAAAGTAAATGTCCGCAATTCCTTCTTCCTTCATGGGTAGAAACGTCACCCCCGCTTTATGAAGCTCAGAAACGGATGGGATTGCGATTTCCTCTGCTAACGGAGGGTTGTTATTATCAGCGTTTCTACTGCCCTTCTTTTCCCTTTCAAGTGTTCCGGCTTCTTTATCTTCGCCGGCCGGAGGGAAACGCCGGAGATAGGAGGTCTCAATGGGTTGCAGCACTAGCTTTAGTCCTGGGACGAAAAGGGTCATCACCTTCCATGGCATTAAAAACAGAATCCCCTTTATGAAGCGGCCCAGCCGGCATTTGAGCATTTTCTCAATCATCTTCCGTGCACCATCTACAAGCAACACTTTTTTGCCACCGCCGTCATTTATTTGTCTCATCGCCTCGTCTTCACCGCCGGCAGCGTTCTCCTCGATTATAGCCTCGCACTTTCTGGGCATGGTGATGAGAAGTCGGTACAAAACATCTAGCAAATGAGCCGCCGCCCCAATTTCCGTCGTCACGTTCGGGAAATCCACCTGCACAGGGGTGGAGACAGAGACGGGCTAGAACGATAATTTATGACACTATTTTTCAATCATGACAGTATTTTTCATACATGGCAGTAACAACTCTTATTTCGGAAAAAAAAATTATAGTAGTCCTATTCTTCAACTGACCTGCAGCTTCAAAGGGGAAACCTCTTTACAAAACCCTATCAGCATGCTTGTTAAAACATCATGCGCCGACTCCGAGGAAGACAGATGAAGTTCCAAAATTTTACGTAGTACAAACAATGGGATTTGATTCTCCAGCTTCACCATGTCTCTAAGAATGGCATTGTCGAGGGTTGTTGATATTCTCACGCTTGAAATGTCCGCCAAGTGGGACTTTATGGATGAAACTCTAATCTTCATTAGCTCAGTCTTTCGGCCGTCGTCAGGTGCGGCGGCGTATGCTTGGAGGACCTCAAGCAAGAACGAAGCGTCCACCGCCATCATCCACCCAAGAGTTTCGCCGTTGCAATTCAAGAACTTGTGATAATGAGCACGAATTTTATTCTCATATTTCGCCACCTGCATGATATCAGATTTGGGTAAAAAAATGGTATTTGGAAGGGCCTATTCTGAATGGATGAGGATTTTTTTTAAACGTTGATCGAAATAAAGGATTCCGATTTCTGACAATGGTTTGGAATTGTGAGTAATATGAATGAGAATTGAGTTAAATAAATTATTGTAAAACATGGTGCTTTATGTATATAAATAAAGCGTCATTTCATTAATAATCTATTTAACTGACTTCCGGGTCAATGTTTTGAATAAAATTTTGTAGATATGTGCTACGTTTCATGGAGAACATGCTCACAAAATTTTATCAAAAAACTCAATCAGAAGATCCCTCAATTGGGCTTAGCCTGATAGCGGTTCCCGTCAATCCAGACTGACCAAATCATTCCTCGTACCTCTATAAAGCAAAATAGCAAAAATCGTCATTCATAAAATTAAAGTGCTAAATCACAACTACCCATGGCACGTTTTAATATATTGAACTAGAAAATTGGTCGCGCGTTGCGCGAATGTTATATGTCCAATATGTACTTTGAATTTTGTATAATGCCTTATAATGTAAACAATTACTTGAATATACTGATAATAAAGATGATGCATCTTGCCAATTGCCAATGACACAATTTTTATTTAATTTAATAAGAAGTAGATGCTTTATTTATTTAATTGAATATAGAAAATGTATTGAATCTGCTCGCATGATCTGTATAAATTTCAATCCTATGGTCTTGCCTTTTCATCTTTCTCTACCTGGGTCAGTGGTAAATCTATGTTTGCTTGTGTCACCCGAATGATGTTGAATTTCTTTTTCAATGTCGGAGTATTTGTTTTGTTGGAGGTTCACGGGGCAAAGGACAAAAACATTATTTTCTTCAAAGTACAACGCAAAACTCCGCAAAGATTGCAAATATGAAATACCTCATGATAATAGTCGTAGTTTGATAGAAGTTGTACGTACAGGATTCAACGTGAAAGAATATGTGAAGCGGAGAAAAAGAAATTCATAGTTGGTTTAATTGAATCTAAACAAGATAAATCACCATACTTGTTGCTAAACTTAGCATGCTACAATAAAACGTATTAGGTAGAATAAATAATATATCAGGGGGAGCACTACACTCAAAAAACTAAGCATGAAATGTTGGAGAAAAATAGGAAAGTGCAAAGTCAAAAGAAACGAGTGCACAAAAATAACATATTCCACACAAGTTCACTAGTTCTATTTTTTAAGCTATTTTTATACATCCCACTTACACTCTACAGATCAGAGAAGATTAGTATCATTTCATTTCTATATGCATAAACATTTTAATGAGATGTTTGCTTTTGAATTTAGATAGCGCACTTACAATGAACTAACACACAAACGGACCATATTTAAAAAAGATTTGTGTTGTTTCTTAGTTGTTTGAAATGACACTAATTAAGTTAAGTTCAAAAATAATGGGGACAATTCTTTCTTTTTTGAATGAAATAATGGGGACAATTCTAAGACTAAGTGGAAATCAATATGTAAGAAAAAAACTGATATGTGTGTTAGCATGTGAGAGTAAGTACAATGAAATAAGCTCCACATATTATCAAACACCTATTGTGCATTTCATTTCTTTTCATATGAGCTTGTTCAGATCATTTAATAATACTCGATATCACATTAATGAGCTTCGGATTATTGCATTAGCTAGTCAATTTGAGATCATCAATCAATAATCGAGATAAAATTTGTAGAACACAAGCATTACAATTTTTTTAAAAAACGGGAAATAGCCTCTAAGCAAAAAATAGTTAAAATGCAACGTGAACTCATTAACAATTGGGAAGAGAATAGTACAACTTAGATATTGATGATCATGATCGTGAGAAGGGGATATGGGAACTTTAAATTCCATTATGTATTTGAATAGGTGAAAAGTTAAAATCTGAATATAAAATTAAATTGATAAGAGACGGTACATCTTGTCCATTGTCGAACAGAGATGTGGGTATCCTGTGATGATTTGGTTGGGAAATAAAAAATGGATTCAAACCAAGAAAACAACTTGACACGAGAGTTATATGCTGAAAAATTAAAAGTTGTTGAAACTGAAGAGTCGATACAAAAATGATAACACATAGCGGATATATCGATTTCATATCGTGTGTGGAGTAAGCATCCTTAAACACAAGTAACCATCGCCAAATGAATTTAACACTGTTAAAGGTAAAATTAGATGGTGAGGTCAGCAATTTGAAAAATAGTTCATACGGGACAATATGATAGCACACGGTACTACACTTTAAAGTCTAACCATGACAAACCATGAGCATTTAATACTAAAACTGGCCTTTATAAGATAGGTTAAGATAAGCCATCATTCATGATAGCATCTTCCATTTGATTTTTGTTTTTGCTTTATTCGTAGTATATAACTCACAAAATATGTATAGCATCTTCCATTTGATTGTGCAATCGGTTCTTCTATGATTCTGAGTTCCTTCTTGCAGCATTTGGAGTTGGACTTTTGGAATAAGAGTTGTGGCGCCCAAACTTTCCTTTTTGGCATGACTTTTCAGTTATTTTAAAGTCAGTGTTCCAACTTTTAAAATATAAACGTTTCCCCCCACTATTTTTGAGAAAGTTTTCTAAATATGACTAAAACATGGATAAAATTCATAAATAGTACTAACAATGTTTTATTCCTAAATATGACTCAATAACTCATATTTTAAAACGTTTTAATCAAATTATTCTTTTAAAAGGATTATATAAGTCTTATTTGGGGAATGAAACAAACTTGGTCCTATTTTTTTTATCTTTGTGTTTGCTTTGGTCCTATATTGAGCAATTTCTGTTTTTTGAATGGTGGTGTCAATTTTAAAAAAATTGAAAGATTACATACACCTATATGTAGATTTTTTTGAGTGGTGTCAATTTTAAATTTTTTAAAAATTATATATACCTATGATTGATAATGTACCCGGGGGTAGCTTATCCGAAGGGTTATTACGACTAATAACTTAGAGAGAGATCAGAGCAAGTAAGAGAGAGAAGGAGTGTATATTCGATATATCAATTGTGTGTTGATTACAAGGGAAAACGGCCGCTATTTATAGTAGCCATAAATGCTAGGCAGAGACACGTGTCAAACACCCGACGGCCGAGGGTTACCTCAATCGGGGTGGCACCGGCATTTGCATGTGCACCGCATTAAATGCGGTGGTTGGACGTGACGCCGCATTAAATGCGATGGTTGACTGTCTCTAAAAGGAATCTTCATCGAGTTTGTTGTATACCGAATGCCATCGTGTGGCTGCCGGCATCATATGGCTGAAGACATCATGTGGCCGAATGCATTATATAGCCGAAGGCTATATACAGTCGAAGGCATGAAATAGCCGAAGGCTAACATTTTAGTTAGAAATTTGCAGAAGCTTTGCAGGTCCACTTCAAGTTGTCTCCTAGAATTTGCATTAAGTTTTTGTTCAGAATGTCAAACATAATGTCTAGATGTAGACATTGTGGTTAAAATTGTAGAGTAAAATTTACCAAAAACAGACAACATCGTGAAAAAACAGAGAGAGAAATATCACGAGATCAATGTTTTATGTCTATTTCTCTCCTGTCGGTGATTCTTATGCAAGATAAAATGTCGAATAACGGACGCTGGTACAATTGCAAAAGTCAAATGTCTTTGTTTACCTGTTCAACCAGATGGCCAAACTTGAAAGACTGCAAACTCTTCTGGAATCTCTTAGCCGCGGCGAGCTTGTACCTCTCCATCTCGTACAGCTCCGGCCGCCTGCAATGGTACGGACCGATGGCCACTTCTTGGGGCACGTAGGAGTCTGGGTCAGCAGCCATTAAAGTCTTAGGTACACTGAAAATGCTGATAGGGACTTCGGCGTCCTCTTCGATCTCCTCGTTCAAACTCTGTCGGAGATGAATTACCCACCGGCGTTCGTCGAAGGTGGAGCCAGAGTGTGACGACACATCGGGATGAAAAGCAAACATGTTATTTGTTGGAGAAGAATTTTGTTGTTCCTTCGTTTTCGGTTTTCACGCCTCAAGAATGGCGGGTTAGGTAATTGAATGAGATGAGTTAATTAAGGCTGTACTGTTCTCATTAACTACTCAACATTTATTATAATTAAGCATAGTAAATGAATACACAATTAATTAACAAATGTATAATGGTTTGACTCAAATTTATGGATCACTTCGATGAAACAACATGAACCATGCATATGTGACATGTAGTGGCGGAACTAGAAAATAATTTAAGCAGGGACACGATCACAACATAAACGGGAAAACAGACCGGAGAGCAGGACGAGCACGGATGCACGACGGTCGGCAAGCTGGCTCCGGGAGCCCTGACGGCTTTTGGGGAGTTCTGAATGATTTACCGATTAGCGATGCAATATTTCACGTCATCCAACTTTTATACTCCCTCCGTCCTTTTTATTTAGCTAAGTTTGACTTTTCAAATCAATGATCAAATGAGTTTGGATGAGAAGTCCACCTCATATCTTCTCCTAGTCAAAATATCTCCTCAGTCCCCTCTCACCACTCCTCCATGTTTTCCCGCTCACAATAGTCAACTTGATAGCCTAAAATTGTGGGGTGGCCCCCAACATGTGGGAGGTCATCCAAAAATGTCCTGAACTGTACATTCGGTTCCGAAAGTTATATTTTTCGGATTATTTTAATTATATTTTATCGGGCCTAATAAAATATACAACATGTTCCCAATCACTATGGGCCTTTAAAATGAATATAAATTCCCCAACTTTAAGAAGTTCCCGAAATTCATTTCGGATTGTTATTATCTCATAAATTATTGATATCGGTAATTGGGCCTCGTTTGACCAACCGGTCAACCTTATGCCTTTTCCATGGCTCAACTAGAATATCCATCACAATATACATATTATCTAGACCACGATAAATATAATATGTGGTCTCGAAAATATCGGGTGCTCCCCGTTCCCGGTGTGGGCCCCACGTGCAATTTATTATTCACCCAAAAGAAATAACAGAAATTTACAACCTCGTAATTTCATTAACCATTTCTCAAGGTTCAATACATTATTTACACAAAAGTAATTATACTGGGGGACGGTGTTACAGTCCAGATATATGAACAAATTTCCAAATCCTTATTTTGTCTTGCTTCATTGCACATTTCTTGGTCTTTAGGATCCATTCTTTGATACTTTGGATGTATTTGACCTTTTTCAAGCCCAGAATAATCCTAATCTAAACAAATTTCAAATATCTAAGATACTAAAATATTATACCAAAAGTATGTAATTTCCAAAATAATAAACATCAAAACTAATTAAAAGTGCAAACATACAAATGAAAATTACTACAATGTCAACAAACTAATTTTGCAAACAAACAAGGTTTTTGTTTAAGGTTGGGAGCAGGTGGAATATGTCGGCATAGGACAATGAAGGCGGGCTGTAAGGGGATCACATGTTCATGCCGGAGGCGACCTGGTCCAGGAAGAGTGAAGATGAACGTGGGAGCTACGGGAAAACTGTCAATTGAGTCCTCGTACTATGCGCGATCCGTCAATTGAGTCCCCGTACTTTGGAAACTCTCAATTGAACCCGCCAACAATGAAAATCCCGTCAATTAGCTCTACATAACCGGATGCTTCCCGGTTAGCCCGTTGCTCGCTCACGTGGACATCGCACATTGAGGGTTCCATTGCTGACATGGATTTAAAATTTCCACATCACTTAATTAGGTCTACATCACGAAGGTTCCGTGGATGGGATTTCAAATCCAAAGCTTCCGCTCCGAGCATTCACGGTGTCCAACAAGTACGAGGGTTCCTCGGACCTCGTCAACCTCCGGTACCACATGGGCCCAGTCCTTTCATCTCCGATTAACATCTATCTTGTCTGGTACGGAAGCTGGCCCCCCTCCCAGCAGCTCATCATCAAAGACTTCCTCCGCTCCATCTCCACCTTCAACCCCCCCCCCCCCCCTCCCCCTCCGTCTCCGAGTGGTGGGCCACCGTCACTCTCTACGCCGACCAGACCGGTGCAAACATATCCCGCTCCGTCCGCATCGCCGACGAGTACTCCAACCACCGCTACTCCCAGGGCCACCACCTCACCCGTCTCTCCATTCAGGACGTCATTGCAGAGGCGGTCCGATCCAAGCCCTTCTCGATCGACCACAAAAACGGGATCTACCTTGTCCTCACCTCCGTCGACGTCACTGTGCAGGATTTCTGCAGGGCGGTTTGCAGATTCCATTACTTCACCTTCGCTTCCAAGGTGGGATACACTCTGTCCTTTCCACGGTTTTATTTGGGTAAGGATAGAGTCATTAAGTGATGTGGAAATTTTAAATCCATGTCAGCAATGGAACCATCAATGTGCGATGTCCACGTGAGCGAGCAACGGACTAACCGGGAAGCATCCGATTATGTAGACCTAATTGACGGGATTTTCATTGTTGGCGGGTTCAATTGAGGGTTTCCAAAGTACGGGGACTCAATTGACGGATCGCGCATAGTACGAGGGCTCAATTGACAGTTTTCCCTGGGAGCTACTGTGAGAAATGATCGTTGTGGTCTTGATTGGGTTGTGAAGAACGAGGTTCGATAGTTTATTACGATGGTGTCAATGCAGTGGTCGGGGAGGCTATCTCCTTGGGAGACTGGACTAATTGGGATTAGGGAGGCTCTCAGTTGGATTCAGGAGCAAGGACCGGATCGACTAGGTAGATGTGGAATCGGATGCTTCTCGGGCCACTTTAGAGATTCATAAAGGCTCTCGTGTTTCTGTGGCGGGCATGATAACGGATGAAATTAGAGAGATACAATCAAGTTTTACTGCTATTTCTTTTGCGCATGTTAATCAATCTGAGAATAGAGTGGCTCATGAGTTAGCTCAAGCGGCTTGTTCTTTGTCTTGTCGTCAAATTTGGCTTTAGAAACCTCTAAATTTCATTATGTTTGTACTAAACTTTGATTCTATTAATGATAAATGGTAATTAGATTTCTTCCTTTCAAAACTAAAATTATATGAACAACTTCAGCCATAATTTTACATATACACCTATGAATTCATCTAATTTTATCTAAGACATACACAAATTGGAATCTCTTTGATGACCCTGTTTTTGAGCTTATCAGACTTAGCAGTCAACTTTTTCACCAAACACGTAACTTTTGATTTCGCACGTTGAGTTGTGTAATAATAAGAAAAAGGGGATAAGGCTCAGATTGAACACTATGATTTCATCAAAATCTCATATTGGACACTAAAGTTTCAAAAGGATCAAATTAGACACTATTGTTTCATATATATATTTCATATTGGACACTAAAGTTTCATAATTCATAGTTTTTGGACACTCACTTATATTGGATAAAGATCAAATTGGACACTCACTTATATTGAATTATGAAACTTTAGTGTCCAATATGAAATACATATGAAACCATAATGTCTAATTTGGTCCATTTGAAACCTTAATGTCCAATATGAGATTATGATGAAATCATAGTGTCTAATTTAAGCCTTATCCCTAAGAAAAGTAAGGTTGAAGTTACTTTTCGACTGTATTGGCTGAAATTATTGTTGAGGATCATTTTGGTTACTTTTCATGTAATTTTTTATTTAATTTATTAGTAAAATATATTTTATATATAATTTTTTCATAGATCAGCGGAATAAGTTAATCCCAACCACTTCTGCCAAAACTTAATAAATTTCAGCAAAATCAACCAATTAAGTTGATTTCAATGTTATCAAATGGACTCTAGGTTGAAATGAATCTACCACATCAATTTTATTCAAACGGACCAACTGAATTGGACTTGGGATGCTTTTAAATTGGATTATTTTTAATTCCAAATCAAATCAAATATACTTATACAAATCAAATCAAATCAAATCAGAGACATGTTCTAAAATACATACGGAGTATATGAGAGACATGTCCTGCTTCAAACCAAATCAGACTATATTAGACTTACATAAATAAGAGTCACACAAATAATATTTCACCAGAACATATCATAAAATAAAGGGAGCACTGCCAAATAAGCTCTCGAACTTTCATAAAAAGTGCAAATAAGCTCTTTTAGAGGAGGTTCTGTCCGACCGTCGCCATTTGGGGAGGTTTCCGGTAGAACTTTTTTATGAAACTTTTTGATAATCTGCTTCATTAAGTCTAGTTTTCTCATACCAAATTTCAGCTAAAATTTCAATCGTGAAGGCAGTCAAATGAATTTTTGAAGATAACTACGCAGTTAGGGAGCGCAGTATATTTCAGAAAATCATTTCACTGCCTTCTCGAATGAATTTTTAGCTGAAATTTGATATGGGTAAACTAGACTTAACGAAGTAGATACTCAAAGAATTTCATAAAAAAAATCCATCGAAAACCACCCCAAATAGCAACAGCCGGACAAATTCTACTGTAAATAAATTTATTCGCACTTTTTATGAAAGTTCCAGAACTTATTTGACAATTCCCCCTAAAATAAAAATACAATTGTAAGTAAAAACATCTTTTTATGAGCCACTGACCGCTTCATATTGCTGATGACAAAACGGGTTAAACAATTTGAAACTTGAAAATTCCCTCCACAACAAACTAGCAAAGCCCTAACCGTAATGTCTTCGTATTCAACCGGCCGGCGGTTACAAACTCCCCGGACACGGTCAGGAATGGCCTCCCACTCAACAAATCACAGCCAAAGGCCTCCCAAGCAACGTCCTAAGACGGTTAGAAAGCAATGGTCCATCAGCGATTTCGAGATCGGGAAACCCCTTGGAAGGGGAAAGTTCGGCCGGGTCTACCTAGCTCGTGAAGCGGAGGTAATCTATTGTCATTCTAAAATTGTTTCAATTTTCTTTGAATTCCATTCTGGAGCTCGAGATTCGGTTTTGCAGACGAAGTTCATAGTGGCACTGAAGGTGATTTTTAAAGAGCAAATAGAGAAGTACAGGCTGCATCATCAGCTTAGGAGGGAGATGGAGATACAAAGCAGTCTCAGGCATCCAAATATTCTGAGGCTCTACGGGTGGTTTCATGATGATGAGAGGATTTTCCTGATCTTGGAGTATGCTCATGGTGGCGAACTCTACAAGGAACTCCGCAAATCTGGCACATTTTCTGAAGAACAAGCGGCTACTGTATCTGCTCACTCTTTCACATTTATTATGCCCCCCCACCCCTTCCCTTTGGTTAATTTCCAGCACAATAGGCTGGATTTAGATTGTCTGTTTTTACTTTTTCTTATCAGAAATTTATGAAGTTTTGGGATATGCATATCTGATGTGCATTACTTTTTTTGGTTTTGGTTTAGTATATCGTAAGCCTTGCGCAAGCACTGGCCTATTGTCACGAGAAAAATGTGATTCACAGGGACATAAAGCCGGAAAACCTCTTACTGGACCATGAGGTAACCCTGCTGTGACACTCTTCTTTGTTTGCTTCTTCTGTGGGGAATTGATGTTATTCATTGCCTATTTATTTGTACATCTGTTGATTCTTAAGTTTATATTCAATTTCTTGATTCCTTCCAAACAAAATGAAATGGTTTGCTTGGAAAGATGAAATTTAAGCTGGTGAGACGAAAAAAACATTCATTTTGTAGCAATTTTCTCACTCTACCTGTTTAGATGGTATTGAGTCTATTACTAATTCACTCATGAACTGGGACTTTCATGTTCAAGGTTATGACTGCTAGTATGTTTTAACGCACTAGGCTAGGACTTTCGTGTTGAAGGCTATGACTGCTAATATGTCTTAAAGCATTAGACTGATTCATCTCCCTACATAATTGCTTGGCTTAAAAGCCTAACTAAAGAGTAGCATATTGAAAAAATGTTGGCCTAAAGAATTGGGAACCTAGGTCAGTTGATTCCTTGTACTAGAATGTCTAGTTTCCCCAATAATTTTGCATGTTACTGTAATCTATTGATTTCTTCTTTCTACAAATAGTGGAAGATACCTGGTTCCGGTTCAACACAAAAAATGGATTTCTGTTATGGTATTTTACCCGCCCGGTCCAAGCCCCGGGTTCATCCCTACCTGCCTGCCTCGTATTTAGCATATGCTCGGAGTTTTCCTGTGAAACATGGAAACTTGGAAGCGTTTTGGAACTTCGAAAACTTCAAATTCCCGTTTTGGGGCCGTTTATGTAATTAAGAAGAATTGGGAAACCCGTTTCCCTAAATAGTTAGCATTTTGGATACCTTGGATTTCCAACTTTTCTCTTTCTTAAGACTTAAGAGATTTTGTGATGGAAAATAGTGTCTTTTAAAATACATAGTGAATTTTTGTGGTATTTCTTTTGATTATATTACAAAAAACATAGAAATATGTATTTAATTTCTAATTATGTACTAATATGACGTGATTTCAAAATCTGAACATGTAGAATGTTTTTTATTATTGGTTCATTAAACAAATCACATGGAAAAAATATGTACATACATGAAAAAGTATTTATAGATATATCCTTATATTTTTAATACTTAAACGTTTCTCCCCACGTTTCGTATCCTACATTTTCTAGACTTTACATTTCTCGTGTTTCCCGTTTCACATTTCCTGTTTCACATTGGAAAATGCTAAGGGAAATGGAATACCATTGTTTGTTTAAACATTTTTATTGCATATTTTAAATGAATAATATAATAGACTTTCAACTACTTTCTAAAGTAATCTTATCGAGTTTGAGCATATATTTTACCCCCTTTCTTTCCTTTCAATATGTATCCATTTTTTCCTTCCACGTTGAATGTAGGGACGGTTGAAGATTGGGGACTTTGGGTGGTCAGTGCAATCGAAAAGCAAGAGACACACAATGTGTGGAACGCTGGATTACTTGGCACCAGAAATGGTGGAGAACAAAGCTCATGATTATGCAGTTGATAACTGGACTCTAGGTGTGCTCTGCTATGAGTTTCTGTATGGTATGCCTCCGTTTGAAGCAGAAACGCAGAAGGATACCTTTAGAAGGTACTAAGGTTATAATGTTTGTAATGTCTGTTGATTTAGCTATGTAACAAGATTGTTATGATGATGATGCAAGATGATGTAGGATTATGAAGGTTGACCTAAATTTTCCATCCACCACTGTGATCTCTACAGAAGCAAAGAATCTCATTAGTCGGGTCAGTTCGTGTATACCTTTGTCGCATATTTGCACTATAATATTAATGATAATGATAAACAGAAGAAAACACCATACTAACAATAATAATATTGTATGGGGCAGCTT